AAAGAGCCGCCATTTCGAACAAAAAGAACGAATTTTGAATACCATCTTTCTCCTGCGAACTGGAATCCGGAGCTAGGTACGCCAGCCAGTGAAGTGCCGAATTTGTTATGATGAGTTTGGGGATAGCTTTTATATAGCGTGGTGACCCTCAAAAATTCTCTCATTTCTTGAACCAATTCATTCACAACAGTAGTGCGCGTATGTGTGTGCAGTCGATAATGCATTCTGCAGATAATAGCCTGGGAATAATACACATTCTACGCGTCAACGAAAAAGACAGGAGGCCACAGGTGTTGCCGGATGGAAGGATATCTTCTTTTTTTCCGCATTTCTGAATTCCCTCTTTTTTCGATTTTACGAAAACTCCTCGTATATACTACAGGAAAAAGCCAAAAACCCCCTCCTTCAAAATAGCTTTCACCTCAAAAAAGAAACCATCGATAGCCTTGCCAGTGGATGTTTGCTGTTGGCATTTGCTACCACTCGGGCTACTTCACGCGTCCTTCGGCCCCTGACTGAGAACAAATGTGAAGGGGGTTTTTGACTTCTTTTTCATATACTGCATATTCTGTCTTTAATATTTCCAAATATTACTTCACAGTTAGCTGACATTTACTTCTTGATTTGCATTTATAATTCTGCTTAAACCTAAAAATAAGTTGGCATTTAATATGAATTTGAAAGACATAGAGGAAGTGATAGGTGTAATAATGATGAAGACGTAAACAATTTTATGACAGAATTTGCGAAAAAATTTTATAGGAAAGGCTTTTTTTTAAGAGTAATTTGCATTGAGAAACTTATTTTAGAAACTCTGAGGAAGTAAAAAATGTCAAACTTTTTATAAAAAGCAGAATTATACAATTTAGGAAGAAATGTTTCGATTCACAGAATCGTAAACATTCCTTTCCAGCATGCACAGCTGGGCCTTTTTAGTTTTACAGTCGTGGTTTAACATAAAATTAAAATTTTCTCAAAAAGTTGTAAAAATTTAATATTAAGTAAGTGTTATTTTATTTTTTTATATTTTGAATATATTAAACAAAAGACTCATCTTCTTTTTCACTCATTATCTTTTCATCTTTCCAGCTGCTTAGCACTGCGTGAGTACCATTCAGCTGTTTTCTAACAAAGAGTGAATACGGAAGATGTTCTGACTTTTTGACTTCTGACCATTCAGTAACCCGCTTTGTCCATCCGTTATCCATTGCTTTCTCCACATGACCAGCCCTGCTGTTCTATCTAACACAACTAAGCCATGTGTTGCACCATCTGACGTTGGTTCGATCCCACCTCCTGCAAACACTTGTAAGAACTATTCTTCACCTCGGATATAGGACCAGCAACACTGGATCCGTATCCATCCAATCTTGGGCTGCGTATTTGTAGTTAGTGTCCACTCTTGTTTGATGCGAGCACGCCACCTTTTTGAAGGTCACTCAGTGGTCATCTACTCTCTCACGGATGTTGCACTCACTAATGCGTCACATCCACCGGTCATCGGCAAGGCGAGTAACATGCCATGCGTGTCGAATTTTATTTTCTCGTGTGGTAGCAGTGATTTCTTGCACGCCGCTCATCTGACAGAAAGCCTCTGTACATGGTCACAGCGGGTTACGCCAGTCATTCTTCGCTCCATCGCTCACTCGGTCATAGTCAGCGTCTAACTCCCCTATTTTCAGATTTAAACCAACGGGAATAAATCCAAAGTTTTGCAGGTCAGAAGCAACAGCAGTTAGGAAATATTTCGGCAGGTGCTACGGCCTGTATGGAAATGCAGCAGCTTGGAATGCAACAGAGTACGTATCAGCGCATTGCTGTCAGGCCCGATCCGAACGTTGTTGCTACTACAGGTTAGTAGTAATTTTTTCCCGAAACTTATGAAACTTATGTTCTTCGCTTCCCCGAGCGAAATCTGAAGATATCAGTTATTCGCTGATGAATGGTTTTTTTTCGAGAAATATCGGAAATTTATTCACGCTTTCTGGAGAATCTACATAGGTTGAGTTGGTGCTTCGGGATTTTGAGATTTCAATTTTGATGCTGTTTGTTCCGAACTGTTAAATTGTTGCTAGATTTAAGCACTCAGCATTAAAGTGACT